GAAAGAGGATTATTCCCATTGCCTTCATGCCTTTAACACATTTGAAAGCTGGTACCATGTCTCCCCTCATTTATTTCTTCTGTAGCCTAGAGCTCTCTCAGTTAGTCATATTGATAATGAAAGCCAAAATGGGTGCATAATCCCCCTTCCCCAACTGAATCTTTCAAAAAGTTCTTCTGATAAAAAAAGATTGATAAAGGATCAAAAGAAAAGCCAAAGTGGCTATACACTCAGAACCATTACTTTCATTAATGGTCAGAAAGAAGCAAAACAGATGACCAGGGGAATCAGAACTATGTTACAGTAAGCTAAAACTAAAAATCTGAACTTGTCAGGTGAATCCATTTTTCAGACATTTTTTTCTGCTTCAGTCAAGCATTTCATCTGGCTACCCACCCCAACCAACACTTTTACCGATTTACTTTATAATTTGTTTTATCACATTTTTGCCATGCTAATTTTTTCCTCCCTTACACAGATAAAAATGTAGAAGTCCTAAACCACAAACATTCAGTTAAAATTATTGTTCTTGCTAGCAGCAGCCCAATGGCTTTGCTACATATTGACAGACATCAAAAGCTAATATATTTCAGGAATGTATGCCAGACAGCAAAGATAAAAATCCTTCCCTGGAACAGGCATGAATTTTACCTTCATTATCCTGCACCGTGAAGTTAGGGTTAACAGCAGCTAAACTGAAGAAAAACTTTTGTCCACCAAGAGGGTCATCTTTGTCTACTGCACTTATGGTTTGAATAAGCTGCAGGGAAAAAGCAAGCAAACAAACAACAAAAAAACCCAAATACACCTAGGTTTTTGATACAGTTGTCTGATTAAGAAGACTAGTTGTTAAGACAACTTCATATTCAAACTATACATATATTGACTTAATCTGTAGAAGATATTTAACTGCATAAATGTTAAACAATCATATCATGTAAGTTTTTCCAACAAGAGCATCCATTCATGTTTCGTGTGTTGGTACACATACATGTATAAAATGTCCAGCTTCTATGTTAATTCTTCTCTATTTCTTTTTTTCAATACATATTCAAATCAACACCTAAGACAGGAATGCAGAAGTTGTTTTTATCTTTTTGTGATAAAAATGGTATTTTATCAAATAGATGTTTCTGATAGGAAAGTTAATATTTCAAATTAAATTTCAAAATAAAAACATATGTTTCTAAAATAAGATTTTCCTATTTATAACAAAATACCCCACTAAGACTCCTGAGATGAAAAATGCCAGTTAGATTATATATATCTTTCAACTCTTGTAAAACATTGTAGCATACTGTACAGAGTGGGATGAGAATCTGGTGTCACAGTTTTCAAAATTGCATCAAGTCAGTTCAGTATTTGGATTGACTGCTTTCTGCAATGCCTACAAAAAAGGTCTGAGTATTTTGTGGGGAAGTAATGGCAAGGCCTTTATCAACATTTGTTTATCTGTTAGGTAAATGAATGTGTTCCTTTTTTGCACTGAAGTTTCTATACCTAAGGACGGCAAAATGTCATTTCCCAGGCAAAATACAATTTTTGACATACCTAGTTCTTTCTTTCAGAGTGGGTTCTTTTATACCATAGAAATAAAAACTGTACCTGTGGCTGAATTTTTGTGCACGCATGTATGAATGTTCAGTTATGTTCTCATTTTTAACATCCAAAAATAGGATAATCTTTAGCCTAGATAATTTTTATTCTTCATTACCCATTTATCATTTTAGATCGCAGTGTTTTTTTCAAGTATGGAATCGCATCTGATTTTTGACACTACTACTTCCTTGTGACTTGTTAAATGCTGTTTGTTTTTCCTCTTTCAGTTCTTCCAAATACAGCTGTTTCACTTCGTATCACAGCTTTTGTCAGGACTGATCATCTTTAATATCAACAATTACAATGTACTCCTGTTTGCCTTAACAAATGCTTCTCTCTTGTCCATCCAGAATACAGCAAAAAATTTCTTCATGAGACAATGACTGAATTTCTTTACAGCAGCTTGCTTGCTTTCTCAACTGGAGTTTTGCCTTTCTCTAAATTTGTTTTCTCACATAAACCTCCAATGACTGGTGAACAAAAGAGGTAATACAAGCATAGAATATTATTTGTTTTTAAAGAATGAAACTTTCAATTATTTAGTGAGTAATTAGGAAATAAATATTTAGAGATTTTTGCAAAATTAAGTCAAGAAAACACTAGTCCATTTTACTTCACAATTGGAGATCACAAATGCAGTCAGTTGTTGGTGTTAGGCTGATGAAAATCTACTTCTCCAATTCTGAGAGTCCATACTCATAGTTTAAAAGGAGTATGTAGAATTTTTTATAGCCTAAAATCTTTTACAATTTACAGGGACTATTAACCTACTACAGCACTACTGACCAGTGTCCATTAACAGAACCACAGACAGCAAGAAAAGATCTCCTATTAATTCCCCCCATTCATCAATTGCTGTAGCAACTAAAGTTCTCTGGGAACTTCTCTGTTCATATGCTGATCATGTCTAACCTTATGATATACTTTACAAGCAAATTCAGCTAATTTGCTTACATTAGGAACAGAAAAACCTTGCTTGTGGGTTTTTTTGTTGCAAGCATCATTTAGATATCAAAATGTAAGCATGATTCAAAAATTCCAGCAAACATTTGGCTAAATCTTATGCAGTTTCAAGTTACTTGCTGATGTTTCTTTAAAAGGCAAAGCTTGAAAGATTATCTTAGTGAAACAATGTGTTTAGATACATTGTCACATTTACAGCATATCAATAATTAAGTTGTAAAATACATCACAAAAAAAAAAGTATTTTTGCTTTGCTATTCTCACTGAGAACCTAAACTTTAAAATTTTTTTTTTTTTTTCTTTGCAAATGAGGATATTACTGGAAATTCACATTGGAAGTGCATTACTAGCTCCTTTTCAAATGAGGCCATGTACACATTCCAATAGAGCAAATACTCCTCATCTTCTGTGTGAGCCTGGAAAGTTCTCCGTGCAGTATCACTGGTGCCCTCCAGTTCCTTCTGTATGTCATCACAAAGAACATGCTGTTCGCCAGATTGATTGCTCAGTGTGGATCAAGTTTATTTGGAGTAGGCCTTTGGTCTTTGGAGGGAGCAGCATCTTCCTGTTAACTTTTTGAAGGACTGCATGATCTCTTGTGCTCTTCCAAGGTCTATACACGAAGCAAGATTCAGACAACATACAAATGAGCAAGGGAGAAAGCAGATTTCTCCTGCATTGCTGCGAAGAATGAAAGCACAAATGTAGGCCATAGCCAATGATATAGGTTGTTTTGGTGAGTTCTTTGCTTGCCTACTCCATACCTCTTGCAGACAATTATGGCAGCATCACAGTTTTGGATGTCCTAAATAGGACACATTTGACTTCCTGATGACTTGAGCAAAAAGAGCTATTGCAACTTCTGTTTGAGAGTAGGCTGAGGTCTGGAATCCCTCTTAGCTGCATAGCTCTGTTGTACTTGTTTCCTCCACTGTCCTCTATTTCACCAGTTGTGATCACAATGAATGTGAGGAGACACTGAGAATCCCAGTGTGGCACAAGGAATTTTGCTTTCACAATTTTTTCAGACTAGCCACTTGGACTTTAATGGTTCTGCCTCTACCTTTTGGTCCCTAGTGCAAGCAGTTGCAACATGTGACAGAAAGCGTTTCCTAAGACTGATACACTATATTATCTTCCATACTTTTAGTGTATTGTGCTTGCTGCTCCGTGTCTTATTCCTCCAGCATGCCAGTCCCAGACATCTTGGGGCACCTTATGGAACTCATGAAAGTGGATCTTCGCTCAAATTTTTAAATTATTTTCACAAATCTAACCACTTTAAGCAGACTGTACCACTGTCTGACAGGCAAATCCAATGACTCTACAATCTTTATCTGGTTATTATCCAGCCATTTGTAGTCACAGAACTGATAGGAGTAACTAAGATTGTAACTAACCATAGGAGCTGTGTTGCACAAGCTTTTCCTTTTGCACAGTTGTTGGGCAGCCACTTGCTATACTATCTGTGTTTTAACAAACCTGGACTCTTTCTTGAAGATTGAAGGACCGATAAAGCCTTCAGTATACTAGTTTTTAGACATTCCTTGCTTGCTCTGAACCTCTGAGCAGTACTTCATGGCAGGGTAACTACTCAGTCTCTTAAATATTTGCAAATCCAACTGAAGAAAAAAGAAACATTTCTTACTGGGTACACCTCTTTATTTGTAATCAACATGTACATTAGCATCCTTTTCCCTTTCTCAGTAGCTTTCAAATATACACCTACAATTGAGAGGGACTGAAATGGTACAGAGTAAACTCTGCCTTATATGTCATCTACCAGCCAGTGTTCCATTGTAAATATAGACAATAGGTATTGCAGAATTTCTGCTACTCTTAATGTACATTTTTGTTATTTCTTAGTAAAACTGAATAATATCAATGATTAAACATTTTAGTCCTCAGTTACTTAAATTTGCCTAGACAATTTTATACTCTTTTTTAAAAAATGTAATGAAACAAGCAACAGTTCCTATCCAGGAAAGAAGTATTTAAGTCTTGTAAGAAAATTCTGTTTAGTTATAAGGGACCCTTTGGAGGAGGAAGTAAATATGATTAAGTTCTACTGTCCCCTCACTTTTCTATGAGAAACTGATTTAACAAACTAGACTTTTAGAAAGTGACAGACTACTAGGAAATAGCTATTTGTCTGAAGAAGTTCAGAAGTTATCAATACTATTCCAAAAATGGAAATCTGGGAAATCTTTTGTTTCCCTGGAATTTCCATAGAATTATTCTTCATAGCCTTTACAGCTACAGCAGCTGTATTGGCAATTGTGCTGACACAAATCCGTAGTTATAATCTAAGGAGGTTCTTACATGACATAACATATACTGGTGTGTATATGATATTTACACAAACTTATTTAATGTTGGAGTTTTGACAAGAGGCAAGCCTAATTAGTATTCCATTGCTCCAGGCAATGTGTTCAAATACATAAGTTAGTGTTAGTCCTTCTTTGTTCTGTTTGAATCCCATGGGACAGGGCAGTGGGAGTGCTTTTGGTTTACATTAAAAAAACTTAAATAATCAGAAGTGGAAAACATCATATTTCATGTTTTGCATACTATTTGTTGATGATCTTGATAGCTATATTAATGTGATATATCCTGTTTTACACATGGTTTCATATAGTGTTGTCTTCCTCTTAGACCAATCAATCATGGGATACCCGCATTATACCCACAGTAAGTTCCTTCTTCTTGCTATCAATGCCGCAAAGCAGTAACAACTACAGGGAAGTCAAGGACATTACTCTGAAAACAGACTGGAAAGTAAGGGCCCAAAAGTAATCAAAGAGTGTTATTAGCCACTAAATCTAATCAAACAGCAGAAACGAGTTTGCCATGTAGGTTTCTTATTCCAACACAATTCACCTTTGTGCTTGGTCGGTCCTATTTCAGCATCAGTTTTATTTGCTGTTTAGGTAATTGTTTGCACTATATAGATGCTTATAAATTGTGTACAAAGAACAGTATATAATGTGCTATTAAGAAAGATAACTACAACTATTTAGAAACCCCATTTTGATTTACATTACGTAAACTAACTAACCAGAGTGAAACAAAGTAAAACTTTGAGAGTTTTTTTAAAAAGTAAGAAGAAAATTCTGATACTACTAAAAACACTGGAAGATATAAGAACTATAGAAATATACCGAAGGAACTAAAATAAGAATAAATCAGAAGAGATGGAAAAGGAAGAGAAAAAAAAGAACTAAACTAAACTCACCACAGATTGTAGTATGACAAAAGAAAAAAGGGAGATGCAAACACAAAGGATATAAGGAAGTTCTAGAAAAAACATAATCGAACGAAACAGTAAGGAATTTATTTTTTCAGTAGATATATATTTTAGTTATTTTTTCAATAAAAGGAATAATGATTAGAAAGACCTGGTGAATGTGATAAGGAAACTGCTGGAAATATAAAGATACAAAAAGCTAAGCAAGGTTATGGTGAGAAAAATATAAAGTTTTTTATATGGGTCCAATGTCTTGACAAAACAAAGAGCAATGTAAAAAGAATTAGTTCAAGTAACATAGTGTGTTTATATATAGGAAAAAGTAATAAAGAATTAATAATTCATAATTTTAAATGTCATTGGAAGAGAATCCATGATGATCTAGAGTGAGTTAGATAATACTGGAACACGTGAAAAGGGAGTGGGCATGTATGGGTTGTGTAAAATGAAGGCTAGTAACAGCAAGATCATAACGAGCATGCTTGGAGACCCAAACAGGTGAGAATACAACTTTCCTCTTTACTTTTGAGGCTCTGAAAGCTGCAGGAAACCATGCAGTTTACCTCCTTCCTATCTTAGGCTCAGACAGGTAGTTCTTCAGAGAAAGGACACGATTTTTGAAAGGACCAGAATGCCACTGGGCACCCGTGATGGTATAGGTGTCTTAACATGAAGGCTATGCAATTTGGTATATATTTGTTACTCAATATTTTTAAATTTTATGTATATAACCCCCAAACACACACATATATCTATGTATTACAATGACTACAGTAGGAGATACTGATAAATGGCCAGAGGGAAATAAAAGAAAACTAAGCGGTTTCCCATTTAAACATCACAATATACTTGTACCGGGTGCAGGTGCCTGGGCGCTGGCCATAGGGACTGACCTCTGCTTTCTACACTGATTCCTGTCTTTTACATTACAGAGTCTTTGGAGGCTGGCTGCTGAGCTGCCAGACGTGTGGCAGCTGGGAGGTGACAGAACCAGTGGGAATCCATCTGCCCAGATGCCCAGCTCCTGGCTTTTCTCACTTGGGGTTGGAGGACAGCTGAACTTTGTGCACAGGGCTGCAGCAGTCCAAGCATTTCGTTCCTTTCTTCCCCTCAGCTCCTACTGAGTCACCCTTGTGTAGCTGACATGAATGCCCGTGTCCCCTTTATGCCATCACAACAAGACTGCCACCACTTTTGGGTGAGCCGAAAGAACAACTGTCAAAATGGCATTCTGCCACAGGTGCTTCCTGTTTGCAGCTTGAGCTTTTTGGAACAGGGTATTTCCATTGTTCGGAAGGCCGAGGTACAATCTGACATCAGCAGTAATAGCAAGGAGAACAATCCCAGGCCCTTTGAGTCACTCTGACACCAAAAATCACATTTCATAAAAAGTACTCTCCCTCTCTGTCTTGCTATATATAGGCATATATGTATATGTGTATTTATGTATATACACACATCCATACGTACTATATATAGCGTGTGTGTCTGTATATGTAAATGTGTACATATATTTTTATATATACTTCTATATTAATTAAGTAAATAGACACTTTAAGGAAAATAAAGGAACTGGAAAATGTAATATTCATTAAAAAGTTTGTCAGTAGGAGATAGGAAATGTTTAAATGAATACCACAGAAGTTGTGACTGATGTATCATAATAGTTTCAGTGATCTAATGGAAAATTTAAATTTGATCATGGATCAAATGTAATTATGAAAACCTGAAAGGAAAGAAAATTAGCGTAACTGGGAGGAATCAAACCTAGAGAATGATGTTTATTATGGATTGATTAAATTCAATCCCTCAGGACAGACTGAATTCCAAAATAACAAGTCTTATTTATGATCTACCAGTAAGCAAAAAGAACATAATTCTACCAGTAAGCAAAAAGAACATAATTACATTCAAATAGATCATTCATGTTATTGTGCACTGCATTTTTTCTTTTCCTGTGAATTGTTTCTTTCAAACAATCGTTTGCAACTCAGTTGTTTCTTTTTTTTTAAATATTTATAGCCCTTTAAGTAAACTTGGCACTTTTTCTGACAAAAGAAACACTACTGAGCTCTGTTACAATTTAAATAAACATTTATTGATACGTACACTTATCTGGCTTCTCATTTATTAATCATAACTAATTAGTGTGCCAATTTTAAAACTTTTTAACTGACAGCTTTTTCTGAATGTAAACGGAAAACCAGGGTAATGCAGAAATAGCTTTTATATTTACTTTTAAATTATACTGACCTCAATATTCTAGATAGCTTAGAAAAACAGAGTTCCTCAAAATATCTTTACATGAAAATATAACTGTTCTATTAAGCATTTCCTGTACCCTCTATAGTTAGTAACCTGGACAGAACAGATTCTGACACCTCAAATGAACAAGATCTGTGGATTATTTTAGAATCACAGAATCACACAGTGGTTTGGGTTGGAAGGGACCTTAAAGACCACCTACTTCCAACCCCCCTGCCATAGGCAGGGACACTTTCCCCTAGACCAAGTTGCTCCAAGCCCCATCCAACCTGGCCTTGAACACTGCCAGAGACGAGGCAGCCACAGTTGCTCTGGGCAACCTGTGCCAGTATCTCACCACCCTCACAGTAAAGAATTTCTTCCTAATATCTAATCCAAATCTCCCCTGTTATGGTTTGAAACCATTACCCCTTGTCCTATCACTACCCTCCATGATAAACAGTCCCTCCCCGTTAAACAGTCCCTCCCCACCTTTCCTGTAGGCCCCCTTTAAGTACTGGAAGGCCACTATAAGATCTCCCTGGAGCCTTCTCTTCTCCAGGCTGAACAACCCCAACTCTCTCAGCCTGTCCTCACAGGGGAGGTGCTCCAGCCCCCGGATCATCTTCACGGCCCTCCTGCTGCAGCAGGTCCATGTCTTTCTTGTGCTGGTGGCCCAGAGCTGGACGCAGCACTGCAGGTTGGGTCTCATCAGAGCAGAGTAGAGGGGGAGAATCACCTTCCTTGACCTGCTGGACCCGCTTCTCTTGATGCGGCCCAAGATGTGATGGGTTTTCCGGGCTGCAAGTGGGCATTGCCAGCTCATCTTCAGTTTTTCACCCACCAGCACCCCCACGTCCTTCTCTGCAGGGCTGCTCTCAATCTACTCATCACCCAGCCTGTATTTGTGCTCGGGATTGCCCTGAATCAGGTGCAGGAACTTGCACTTGGCCTTATTGAACTTCATGAGGTTTGCACCGGCCCACCTCTCCAGCCTGACAAAGTCCCTCTGAATGTCAATGCATTTAGATTTATTTTTTTTACCCAGGAATTTTTTTCTGAACCTGGAAGAGGAAAATTCAGTGTTCTACTTTTCCAGTTTTGAATCCATATGTCATATTGAAAATGACTAAAGTACTATTTTAGCATTTATAAGAGGTGCTGCAACTGTCAAAATTCTAGATGTTTAGCCAGTGATTTCAATTTATCTAACACCTTGAATTCTCTTAAAAGTATCCTAGCAGACAAAAGCCCTTGCTCAGTACCTTTAGGTATTTTATGCATTACTAAATTTGGACCTTAAATCCTCTGTTCTAATTTCCAACTGATGTTACTTTAGAAAGAAGAATGGCAACTTGAATGTGAAATTTGTAATATGACCTGACCTGTAGGACTCAAACAGTTAAGACAAGCTGGCACTTCTGCCATGTTCTGTGCAAAGGTGTTAAAATGATTGCACTGATGCAGTACTGCTGCCATTTTAAAGGATTTATTATTGGCTGACTGTGCTCTGGGACATGCTGTGCTGTAATAGGAAAACAGGTTTTTAAACAGTTCTAATAAGCAGTTGCCTATTAGGAACTAGATATTAAGCAGTGCAGTCATTTCACTTAAATTAAGGTACCTATTCTGCAGCCTCTAAGAGACAAAACAAAATACTATGCTACCAGTTCAAATAATGTATGTTTTGCATGTTCTTTTCAAAAGTTTTTGCTGTGATAATAAGGATAAGTCTAACAATTGAAAAAATAAAAAAAAAGGTGTGACACTTATAGATGTCTGTAATCACCATCAGCATGGACTGAAATGTATTTGAATTTTGCTATTTGAGAGTTATTGAAAATATAGATCAAAGTTTTTAGTAGTTATATATAGCATTTTACTTTGTGAAGATAATGGCAAAACTAATTATGACCATGCCTCTTCGACATATCTAGTCAAGATTTAACAGTAGTAGAGGGTTAGGTAAAGAAAAGTGGTAATTCACACACTGATGCTGTTGTAATATACTGAAATTTCACTCTAAGCCTCTCCTACAGAGCTACTTTACTTTTATTTGTAGCCTTTCAAAAGCTATTTTGGACGTGATTTCTCCCAAGCAACAGGCAAGAATGACCTACAGTTGAGTGCTGTAGCAAAACTGGGTAGTGGGCGGTGTTTATCAAAGGCATACCTGTCCAGCTCTTGCATTTTCACAGACAAAAGTATCGTAGAATACAGCAAACTGTGGGGCATTGTCATTAACATCCAAAATTCTTACGTAGACAGGAACACGAGTAGTATCTTTGGGGTTGTCTGACAGAAGAGAGAAGAATAATAAGTTTATGTTCCTACTAAAAGTTTTCTGTTTTCTTCCAAATTTCATGAGCAATATATGTGCAAGATTAGGTATGAAACTGGTAAAAATTTAGTGTACAAACTGATACCAGGTAAGAATCAGGCCTCCTGAAAAATAAGATGTTTTGCTTAGAATAAAAAATAAAGTTTTGGTATCTAGTGAGCAATTAAGATTTTACATGAAAATAAGGGCTGTTAATAATCTATGCAAATACAGTACATGAAAAGTATGCCCACTATTATAATGACAAATTTGATTATTTAGTGGGCTCAAGAGTATTATTCTGCTGTAAGGTGGGTTTTTTTTTTTTTAAATTTTAAAATTGTTTGTGAACTGCTTTGTTTTACACAGGAAAGACATTATTGGCTTTGTACATACATATGTTGAAAATTTTTCAAGCCTTAATTGCCTCTCTTGTGCCTTATTTAGGGAGAAATTCCAACAAAGCCAATGAAAATATCCACCCAAAAATGTGGTAAAGAATAGAGGTTTTGTGTCTAAATTGCCTTAATAAATATGAGTGTAAATTTTCAGACCTTGGATTAAGAAACAAGGATAGTAATCTCACCCTTGCCAAATGCCAAAAACACTAATATCATTTAGAGTACCCTCTCATTACTACAGGTTAATTCAGGAATACAAGTGTCCCTGTTCTCACTTGCTGATCTAGTTGCCATACCAAGAGTCTGAAATAATACCTAGGAGAAAAAAGTGCAGCCATTTCTTGGAATTCTGCTGGATGGTAGCTAAATACCATACAATTTTGTAACTTTAATGGAATGGGATAAGTAACAATAGAGATGATCCAAAACTATTGTGTTGTTTGGGTTTTTTTTTCTCCTTTTAAGCTGTTTTAAATGGTAAATATTTAGGTGTGGCTGGCATTAAGTTCACCTGTTATTCATAACAACTTTGTTAAAGAGTGGATCTTTTTGACATCCTGAATTGATTAAAATGGCAGGTTTAGGGTACTGGTTTTCATAGCCTTTTGCATTTTTATACTAGCTTTCCAGATTAGTTCTATTCTTAACACTGCCTTCCCATTGTGTCATACTTCACAATATTTTTAAAGATTTAAAGACCTAAATCTGCCCCTTCATTTCTTTCTCCTGAGCTACCACAGCTCTTTAGAGAATGCTAACTACTAAAACTGGGTCCAGAATGTAAATTTGCTCCAAGTATCCTGACAAGGAAATAAGTTTAGCACTATGATACAATTATACAAGGATACTATTTTTTTTCATTATATAAATAGTTCTGAAACGTATTCTTACAAGATTAGACAGCACTGTGAAGGATTGTAAACTCAGGCCAATGCATTGCAAGATAAAAAAAAAAAAAAAAAAGTGTGTTAAAAATAAGTATAGCTACCAGGTGTGCTCAGTACAACCAGCCTATTAGTGTGGACTGCAGCAATGGGGACAGGCAGGCTAAGAGTGGTTAACTGGCTGGACATGATGTTTCATTTTTTTCTCTGAAGTCTAGTTCTTGCCAGCCATGTTCCACTGTTGATCAACATTTTTTTTTTTTCTTTTTTTTGACTGATATAGAATTAACCCTAAAAACCCCAGTGTTTTTGAAAGCAAGTGATCCTCATTGGCTGATTTCAAAGATGAGACCTTTGTGCCTTAGAAAATTTTCTATCATCAGGCTATTAGTGTTAATCTCAATAAAGTAGCAGGTTTAGGAGGATCTCTACTTTCCTCTTTGTACTTTTAACATGACAATATGTACAGAAAGCTGTTTTAAGTAGTCCAAGACATGCTACAGCTTAGGAATCAAACTGAACCTAATTTGTAAGATGTATTGATTCCAAGAGCTGTAGGTGTAGATACCATAGGAAGAGGTAATGAAATTATTTCTGAGGAAATGAAGAAAACAACAGAGACAAAAACATAGATTACCACCCTGAACTCTGCTACTTTAACAGCAAAATCATGTCATTGTCCTCAAAGAAAAGGAAGAAAACAGAATTACTCCAGTGTTATTATTTAATTGGGTAACATTTCAGAAGTAAGTTGGACATTAAAGGTGGAAGTAGGTGAGGAAAAAAAGCAATGAGGAGACAGCTGTTGCTAGTTACCCCAACTTATTTCCCAGAATATCTAACAGAAGGAGTCAGGAGGGAAGAAAGGGGTTTTTTTTCCTCATGAGGTCACAGCTGTAACTTTGCAGGCTAAAAAAAACTGAAAGGAAATTGGCTTACTGATCTCAGCTGCTATAACGCTAAGATTGTGCCATTGTGATATCTCACGGTCAAGTGGCTTAGAAGTATAGATGGACCCATTTCCAGAATGAATATTAAATATCCTGTCAAGGTCAGTGTGACGATCCAGAGAAAACCTAAATATGATAAAGAAAAAAAAAGTATTGTCAAAGTGATCGGAAATGGAAGAAAACATACGTTTCGTGACAAGTCAGTATAGCTTTTAGATACTATATGTTACACCGCAAAGGTTAGTTTTGAGAAGACATATTTAATTTCTATAAACACTTATGAAAATTCTCTGTTCCATAGAATGAGAAAAAAAAATTGCAAGAATTTCATACATGTGATATAATTGTGTAATATTTTATCATCTGAGCTTTTATAGACATATGAGAATCATAAAAATAAATCAGAATTTCAATGTAATAGTTAAAGAATTGTTTTAATTCTGAAAGGAAAATTTCTTTGATGTACTGTTCCTTCAGACTGAGACTGACAGCTCATTTATGAGCTTTTCAAGAGTATAGTTATGAGCATAGCTTCTACACTTTAGGATATATTAATTTACTAGAGATCAAGTTTACTAGAGATCAAGTTAAAACGAATCTCTGTAAAATATGCTCACATGCAGAACTTTCACTTTGAATATACTGATGTACAGTACAGTGAAGGACCTTCTTTCTTGCTCTAGTTGCTATACTTCTGCAGACAAAATTTCTACTAACACAATACGGCAGAATGCCAAACTAGAATCATAAAATTGCTCTTTCCTCCATTTTTTCTAATATTTAACACTGCCTTCAAAGTTTGGATTGAACCTTTAACGTGTAATTAATTAAAGGACTTTGCAAAGTACAGGACATTTATGTAACTACCTGGCAGAATTGGGACAAATTAAGAAAAAAGTCTGCTAGTACACTTTCACAGTGCAATACAAAAAATTGTTCATGTTTCTATGAACTTTTATGAGTGATCTAAACAGTCCATCAAGTATATCTTGTTTTGCCTAACTAAATTGAGCCAAGTGAAAAAATGCTGTAATATGAAAATAATGTCTATAATGATTTGGTGGGTTTTGTTTGCTCACTCCACCACACATGATAACATAAATATGTTAACAAACAAACACCCAACAAACTAGCTGACACCACAATGAATAAAAAAACAAAACAAAAGGAAATTAGAACAGCCAAAAATATTTCTGAAAGTGCAGGAAAGACTTGATCAATTTCTTTTTTTTTTTAAATACTAGATGACTGTAATAAACTTTTAGTTAGAATTAAACAAAAATGTGCTATTTTTCAAAGAAATTATGTTTAAGATGTCTGGCTTATATAATAAGCGTTTGATTTTACTTCAGAAATAATGCAACAGGAAGCTATTTGCACTCCATTTATAGGAAGCCTAACTTATATAGAACTTTAATAAACAGAAACTAATATTTTAAAGTAAAGAGATAAACAGAAAAAAAAGTAAAAACTGAATAAATTCTAAAACCTGAAGCTGTAGTATTTTGTTTAATAGCAGTATTAAATTATTACACAAACTGCCCTAATGTCAAAATACTTTAGTTTAAATGTTAGCTGTGCACTTCTGGGTTAAACACATAGTACTTTGTATTTAGTATTGATATTGTAAGAAGTTGTCCTGGTTTTGGCTGAGATAGAGATAATTTTCTTCCTAGTATCTGGTACAGTGCTGTGTTTTGGATTTAGTGTGAGAACAATGTTTATAACACAGGGATGGTTTAGTTGTTGCTAAGCAGTGCTTAACCAAGGCAAGGACTTTTCAGTTTCCCCTGCTCTGCCAGTAAGCAGGTGCACAAGAAGCTGGGAGGGAGCACGGCCAGGACAGCTGACCCGAACTAGCCAAAGAGATATTCCACACCATAGGACGTCATGCTTTGTATATAAACCGGGGGGAGCTGGCCGGGAGGGGCGGGTCGCATCCCTGGGGACTGGCTGAGTCTCGGTCAGCAGGTGGTGAGCAATTGCACCGTGCATGACTTGTCTTGGATTTTGTTTCTCTCTCTTTTTGTTCTCTTCTTTTTTATTACAATTATCATTAATATTATTGTTACTATATTATTACACTTTATTTTATTTTAATTATTACACTGTTCTTAACTCACGAGTTTTACCTTTTTTTTTCTGATTCTCTTCCCCATCCCCCTGTGGCAGGGGAGGAGTGAGCAAGCATCCATATGGTGCTTAGTTGCCAGCAGGGGCTAAACCATAACAGAAGTAAAAGCTTGTAAAAACTTATCCCAGGTAATTACTGTTTGAAAGAATACACAAGGTTGCTTTGGAGGTTGAGGAACAGAGCAAATACTAAAGAAAATTAAAACTACACCACGCAAATTCTTTTAAAGTTGTTGACTTCAACTAGATAGCATTAAATGAAAGCTAAAAGAAATGACTGTACTATGAAGAGGATTATCACAAATATCTTTGATTTTCTTCAAGTGAACTAAATCTAGGTTCAATGGTCCCTTTCAATTTTTCAGAAATTTCTTTGCCCTTATTCCTGTTGGTTTGCTACATCTGCCTCTGCTAAATTATTTTCTATGGGAGAATGAAAGAAACGTAGGAAAATTATATAAATAATCTTTATCTTGTTACTTTGCGTAAATAATAGCGATGAGGGAAATACCTGCCACAGATCTTCAATTCATCAAATTGTGTCAGAAACAAAATGAGCAAAAGCTCCAAGTTTGTTCTTTTCCCAGTCACGATTAAGAAAATATAACTAATAACATCGTCAGTTGTCTCATGCAATTAGAGTTGATAAAGATGTAATTCTAAGTTATTTATATATTCTTAAATTTCAGAGGCTTGGTGCTATCTCCTACGTTTTCAATACGCACGAATCAGTGTAGAGGAAAATTAGGTTCAGTTTCATTTCCTAATCCAGTTTTACCACCTGGGCCTCATTGAGAAGTATGTGGCAATTGATTTCAAAGTCAATAAATAAGGTTCTTTGGCCAGAATGTAATTTTCATACTTTGTTCGATATTTCAGACAACACACATCCAAGTTGGACAACATTGTCTTACCTATTTCTTAAAGCTTATGCTTCACAGAAAACAAACAAACAAACAAAAAAACCCACACCAAAGTACAGTTTACTACATTCCGCTAGATGTGATGTAGCGTATAGAATCTAGTAGAGCACATAGGAAAGATTTTTAAAAATATTGATCTGTCAATGTCTTAATTTCTTGGGGTATTTGAGCACACACAAATAGAAATCTGGCAAGCCTGCAAAGCAGGAGGCAGCAGTCAGAGCAGGTGAGATCAGCACTGCGTCCTTTCCAGGACTGAGCAGAGGAAGCATTAGAAAATTCTGTACACTTCTTGGGCCATAGACTGGTTTGGCACTCTTTCACAGTGTGAAGCAAGAAACAGTCCTGAAAAGCCTACTTGAAATCAATGTCTAATTTTACAAGTTTTCTGAGATTTGAAGTACAATAAAACATTTCCATGTCTCTTCTCTGCAGGTGAATGGCTGTTCCCTGAGGTATTGCGAGGCTTACAGATAGCACCATTCTCAACTCTATCTATCTCTGAGACAATATTAAATAACAGAAAAAAACCCTTTAGCATTTTCTTCCTGTGCACAATGTGTACATGAAAGTTCATGTTATATTACTAATTCTCTTATTTTCTTTAGTAAATGATGTGTTTACAGAGACTGGAGTATTACCTTATTGGACTTGAGGCTGAATCAGGATCCCGTGCCATTACTGTTCCTATTATTGTCCCTAACTCAATATCTTCATGCACCTCAAAAAGGTAAGAAGATCTACTGAAGATCGGAGCTTCATCTACATCTTCTACAGAGATTTTCACAATAGTTGTATCTTTGAAAGGCCCAAGATAATAGAAGCGTGGATCCACATGGGTGTTCTCAGCTTCTACTTTCAAGGTATAAAGTCGCCTTGTCTCATAGTCCAGTGGCTAAAAAAGAAGATGATTAAAAAGTTTATTAAATTACATTACGTATTGACAAATATTGACCTATATACACATAACGGAAACCAAAGAGGACTCAAGCCTTGTCAGATCTTGCCCTGGGCTGGGGGAACCCAAACACAGTTCAAATTTTCCACAGCACAGGGATCACTTTCTCTAGTAAGGAATTTCTATTGTTTTTAGAGGAAGTTTATCTCCTAAATATAACTAGATTTATTGTAACACCAATGAAAAAATGATTTTCAGTGCAAATTTACCAATTACTCAGTGAATTTTGCAGGCATTTCACAAGACTATGGATTTAAAACAGTCATATAAGCATTTAAAATACTTGAAATACAGACTTGAAATATTGAAATTTCAGAACAAGGTACTTAATACTAATATTTCTCAGGAAATACTAGAAACTCTTGTTTACCCAGGCCATTTTGAGTATCCACATTGTCAAACAAATGTAGCTTTAAATACCAGGAGTGTTTTAGGTTTCTTTTAAGGAGGGGATGTGTGTCAAAGTTCTCTATATCTAGAGAAACACTATGCGCTTAATCTGTCTTCTTTTCACTTAATTTAGTGAATCCAACATCAGAGATTTTTTTTTCAAAATAGATTTGACATTTTTGTCAGCAGTTCCTTTTTAAAATGGAAAGAGGAAGCATTCAGAGTTATAATTAGAAACCATTTTGGATAGAAAAGAACCTCTATTCCTTCAAATTTTTCTAACTATCACAGATGAAAAGTGTTAGCTAATTAATGAAACTGAGGAAATGAGCAAGCTGAGAATTTACCTTTCCAGCACAAAGGCAGCTTCATTAACTCCCCCAAAATCTCAGGGAGGTATCAAACTGGTGCTTTTCATTCATCAAAATGGGTGGTAGAAGACTTGTTTTTTCTATGTAACTTCTTTTAAATACAAATTAATGTTCATGAAAGATGCCAGAGTGACAGTCTAGAAATTTAAATATTCTATTTAAGAGCAGAAATATGCAGTCCAGTGAAAGAACGAGTTTCCCCACTGCCCCAAACTTGTTTTAAAAAAAGTAGTTAGAGCAGAAGGGAGAATTTCTAAGAATATAATTGAGAAATGCAACACAGTGCTATTTAACCTAGATCTGAAACTATTCGTGTGTCTATAAAGTGCAGCATTCTGCTGTTAATGGATGCCGGCTTCAAGCCTAGAACAAAGAAACCATGTTAGTCCTGCTTTATTCTAATTAGCTGGAATAATTTGCCAGAAGGTGCACCATGCAGATGTAGTTAACTTGCTACTAGTACGTTCGCATTCAGTTTGGACACCTCTGCAGGCTACAATGCAAAACATGGCTATGAAATGTGTGATTATACAGGTATTCCAACATATCACCAGTAACGAGCAAAACTGTTGCCCAAATATACCAAATTGTGGCAAAGCAATCATTTTGTC